AGACTTTCTGACGTGATTAAAGGTCTTTATCATTTTGTTCTTGAGCTTGTCAGTTCAATCCACACCAGAATTCTTTATTTCCTTTAATTTGTCTCATTGACTCTTTTACTTCCTGCACAATTCTTCTTCTCTTCTTCTTCTGACAGCCCAAGCAGATTTGCAGACAGTCTTGTTTTAGCTGTGCTGATGTATCTATTCAGTTTATCTCTGGGAGATTCAGGAGAAGCCTGTTGAAGTTCATGTTTATATACTTTTGTGATATTAAATTAACGAATGTTAGGCATTGATTGAGTTGAGAAACAAAAATAGAGGGATAGCAAACTCAGGCACATGTAGATGGAAGCGTCACTCGAGAAAGTGACCCTTCTATGCGACATGGGATATTTTCCCTGAATGTTAGAAGAAATTCTGCCAAATTATTTATTTCTTCAATAATTTATAGTATTTGGTCTCTTAAAGTATACAAAAAACACATATATATTTTTCCTTGACCAAATGAAACACCATATTTTAAATTTCTGTATCATATTCTACAAACTATTTAAAAAATATCCATTTACTTATGCTAACAAAATGTTGTGGGATACCTCAGGATATATTAAATTTAGTCTATGGGTTTAAAAAACTAATGCTCAGGAAGTCAGCTTTCCTCTAACTAATGGTAGAGCAGAGGACAAGATGAGCTCACAGGCCTAACTCTATAGTTGGAGGCAACCCCTTAACTAAGTGCGTACTCAAGGCAGGAAAACTTACAGCCTGAACCTGAAAGATGTTACATAATAAATTATTTTGCTTAGAAATTAAGAAGTGAAAGCCCTGGATGATTTTTGCTAAGCAACACAGTGATCTCCAAATGTTAAAGAAGTAGAAAATAAAAAGATAGATTTTTTTTTTTTTTTCAGAACTTAGCCAGCTACATGTGGGTAACCACAGCCTTGTGTGGGACAAGATAAAAAATAGTTAAAAACTCTAAAGGGCTTGGGTGTCTCACATTACACATCCTTTTTATCTGTCTTGGAACTATAAAAAGCTTTTGTGAATACCATTATCATTAATCAGTTAAAAATGTTAGTTTAACATGGATTATCAGTAAAATATTATCAGTTGAAAGCAAGCAGGTGCCCTCAATGCCTATTCAGCAGGTCCCTACTGAAGTCTGGAGTGCTCAGCCTGCCACAGGAGACTGATCTGCAGCTCCCACTGCTCCAGCAGTGGGAGGAAAGTGGGTAGGAGAAACCACTGAATGGTCTTACACTCTTAAGCTGTTCTTGCACAGGCACTTAAACAACCCGGAAATAATGTTGATGGAAAATAAATATCAGTTTCTAAATAAGAGATATAAATAAATAAATATATTTTAAAGTAAATTACAGATTCCCTACATTCCCCCTAAATATATCAGCATGTATGTCAAGTTCAATCTTTGTTTATAGTTTTTTTTCTTTTGATGTAAAATTTACTTATGAAGGAATGCACAAATCTGAAGTTTACATTTGTTGAGTTTTGGCAAATAATATCATTCTTTATAACTCAGGGGTCCCCAGTTCCTGGGCTGTAGACTGGTACTGGTTTGTGGCCTGGTACCAGTCTGTGACCTACTGGGACTAGCCACACAGCAGGAGGTGAGCCAGCATTACTGCCTCCTGTCAAATCTGCAGTGGCATTGGATTCTCATAGGAGCTGAGAACTATTGTGAACTGCATGTGCAAGGAATCTAGGTTATGGTGCTTCTTAGGAGAACCTAAGTAACTTTTTTTTTTTTTTTTTTGATGCTTCATATTTTATTTCCCCTCTGCCCTCCCATCCCATCCTTGGTGATGGTTGTACCCACTTGAGCATTTCTGAGCACGTGACAATAAGTAAATCTTGAGAGAGGGGCGGAATTCTTGTCTAAAGAGTAATAGAAGGGGATTAGCTGCAAGGATAGCATAACTGTTGTGCAGGAACAGAAGCTGCCCATATCTTCATCCTGGAAACTACCAGCTTCATCCCGGAAACCACCATGCCCATCCTCCCCACCTTCCTTCCAGCTCTCCCCTGCTGGAAAAATTGTCTTCCAAGAAACCGATCCCTGGTGCCAAAAGGGTTGGAAACCGCTGTCATAACTGAACCCTTGCTACACTCGGACACCCTTGTCCTTTCTCCCTTTACCATACTCACCTGGAGAAACTAAAACTTTGCTTAAATCCCACTCTCCTTCTAATAAAAATTTATCTGTGCCGTTGAATAAGACAAGACAAAAATGACCACGTTCACTGTTTTAAATTCAAAATTACTAACATCTAGTGAGCCTTTAATGCTTCCCAAAAATTATCCCTATATTAGCTGAGCTCCTTCTTTAAGCCAGCATTTCTCAAATTATCCATAGTGAGAGAGACCAGCTTCTTATAATTTTAAATCCATCTTGGTATAATACTTTTGTAAATCACAACAAAAATGGGCTATAAGAAAAATGAAATAAAGAAAGGCATAAAAAATATGAGTTTCTAATTTCTATTATTACATTTAACAGTCATAAAATTACTCTGTCCAGTTGCCACAGAATCTTCTAAATGTATATTCTTAATTTCTGAGCTCATCTCTTCATAGACAGATTAAAAGAATTTGCAAAAAAAAAAAAAAAGCACTGGTCTGCAGGATACCTCTTGAGTTGTGCTGCTTTAAGTGACTAAAATATTTTATACCTTCTCTCTTCTGAAACTTTCACCACTTCCTTAGCCTTCATCACTGTCAGCTGATAATTTGGCTTCACCAAGACACTTGGAGGAATTACAAAAGAACTTTCATAGGCCCTCCCTGGCATTTCCACTCATCTACCAGTATCTGTGCCCACATGCACCACCTTTTCTCATATTACTTAAGGACAAACCGCCATGCTCCTAGCAAAGGCCGGTCCCTTTGCCTGAACGCTAGTGTCATGCCCTTCAATGCAATGATGCTGCTCAGGCAGCTCTCCCTCCTCTCTGTGACCTCATTTCCATCAGCTTACCACCATGCTGCTGCTATTCCTCCCATCTGAGAAAACCTCTTGTGGCCTTTTCTCCTCCTCCAACAGCCACACTCTTTCTCTGTCCCTTTCTTGCAAAACCCTTTAAATTAGTTGTCTATACTAGCCGTCTCCAATTTCTCTCTGGACCCACTTAAGGTAGGTTTTCACCCCCACGACTGCACTAAAACTGCTCTTTTTAAGGTCATCAGTGAAATTCAGATTTCCAAAACCAATGGACATTTTTCAGTCCTCATCTTTCTGGCCCCGTCAGCAACATTTGACAATTGATGACCTTCTTCCTTCAAAAACTTTCTTTTCCTGTCTTCCAGGATACCATTTTAGCTTGCATTTCCTCCCACTTTTCTGGCCTTTTCTTTTCAGTTTCCTTTAGCTGACCTGGAATTGTTGGCGTGTCCATTCTTGGCCCTCTCCTCTTTCCTGTCTAGGCTTATACCCTACATGATCTCATTCAACTTCATGACTTTACCATCTAGACGCTGATGAATATCAAATTCCTTTACCTCTTTCCTGATCCCCAGGCTGCCTAGTTGTCATCTCCCACTGGATAGGTGATGAGCATCTGAGTATCTCAAATTTAACATGTCCAATCACAGCGCCAGGTGTTCCCTTCTACTTCAAATCACGTTTTCAGTTCTATTTTAGTCAGTAGTAACTATAACCTTCCAAAGTTTAAAACCTGGGCATCCCCATTCACATCTCTCTTTTTCTCACACCCCACATCCAATGCCTTAGCAACTTTTATTACATAATCTCAGTTTACAAGAGACCTAAAAGATGAAGGGTTTTTGCATAAAGATAAAAAGTAATCCATTTTAAAACAAAAATGCCAAGAGAATGCCAATATTGCCTCTGGGTCCACTGAATATGAGAAATGCAAAATGAATAGCCTCCACTCCAGAAGGTTGCAGTAGCTTGCTGGGGGTGTAGAAAATTCTTAAGTTCTCCATAGGAAAGAAGTGAGGCAGATCTTGTGAAGAGACAGAGGATGAGAAGATTTTTCTAACAGTGAAGTTATTGCTCCAGAGGACACAAAGGAGAAAGCCTGGGAGGATACACCACCATTACCATCATCATCATCCCGCCATCTAATATCCCATTAGAAGGATAGTAAGTACATACACATACAGACTCTAACATCTTGAATACATTATATAGATGGCAATGTTAATAATTTAATGTCAAGGCAAGGTAATGAATAATTAATTCCTGATTCATAGTTAACTTACAAGAATTGAAGGGAAAGGACAAATATTATATGCTTCCACTTATATTACATACCTAGAATAGCCACATTTATAAAGACAGCAAGTAGAGTGGTAGTTGCCAGGGGCTGGGACAAGGGAGAGATGGGGAGTCAGTGTTTAATGGGTCCAGGGTTTCAGTGTGGGTTGATGAAAAAGTTCTGGAGATGGATGGTCGTGATGGTAACACAACAATGTGAATGTGTTTAATGACACTGAACACTTTAAAAATAATTAAAATGACAAAGTTTATGTTATGTGTATTTTACATTAAAAAAGAATTGAAGCAGTGTGCATTTTAACCTTTGGCTAATCCAAGGGAGTTCAGAGAGGGGCAACTGCACATCGTAACAAAGGTCTGACACATGAAAAGTGTTCTACATCCATCGTCATATTTAATCCTCACCATGGTCTAATCAGGAAGGTATTGCCACTTCACTAGAGGAGAAGGAAAACTGAGAGTCAAAGAGATTTTTGTCCCAAGACTTACACCCAGTAAGTAATGGAGCTGGGAGTCACATCTGGGAACGTGTTGCCTCCACAGCTTGTGTGCTTTCTATGTGCTAACTACACCACACTGAAATAGGGGAGATGTAAACTGTGGTGTAGAAATGTTCTGAAGTCCGTGTTGTAAGCCTGCAACACAGTAGTGGACCCACTGGCAATCATCAACAACAGATGGCTGAGGCAGGTCTTTTTAAACAAAAGCCACACTGTGCTCCAGTGGAGGAGCCAGTGGTGCAAACAGGAGCAAGCACCGACAGAAGTGGCTGAGGCTGTGAATGAAAGCACAGTGCTCAGGGTGACCGCTGTGGAAGGACTCGTCATTTCACACTGGGCTCATTAGCATTTCCTCACACGCAGGCAGTGACCACCATTGAGGGGCATTGCCCTCAGATAAGGCACAGCTGAAGTATCAGATGCTCAGAGGTAAATTTAAAATTTTATATCTGTACTTTCGAAATATGAGTGCTTTATAAATATGAGGCATTAAAATGATTTAGCATCTACAAAGCAGTCTGGGAGGAGGAACGGTTTTATCAGATTGGTCTCATAAAGCTTACTGACTGCCAAAACAATAGTGCCAAAAAGGAATTAGGCTCAGACAACTCGGGGAAGCTTATTATACTGCTAACTTGAACTTTTCTTCTTTTCCCACTAAAAGATGTTTTGGAAAATCTATATATGTATCCTATTGTATAGGGAACTTCAAAAGACTGAAGTGTACCACTGCAGAAACCTCAGAATACTGTCTTGAGAATACTTCAAATATTTCCAAAACACATCAGTATAAAACATCTGCACTGTAAATTAAAGATGCCAATTGGGTTGCCAGTAAAGGCAAAGTTTAATATTCCCAGATGTTACTATACAATATCTATGATATGTTGGCTGAATAGGGTATGCACATTTGCACATCATGGTATTTTTTCAAAATGTAAATTTAGTCCCTGGAGATAGAACAATAGCAAGGCAGAATAAATTATCTGAAAAGTTAAATTCATATTTCTTTTTATGTTAGTTTAAAAGATGGGAGAAAGGAGAGCGCAATAAAGCTAATTCATATATGAAATGGTATTTTAAAAATTGAGATAGTACCCCCCAAATCTTAAAAGCATAAATGAATCTTAAATAGCTTTTTATTTTGGCAGTGATTATTCCCATCACCAGAACTTTGTGAGGATGCAGTGAAAGCTAAGTATGCTCAATTACTTAACAAACTCTCTTTTTGAGAGAGTATCATAAAGATGCCTTTAAAAAAGCATCTTATATATTAAGACAATTGACTGAATTCTTTCTAAAATGTTCAAAACAAAATGAAACATGATAATTTTACAACATCAAAGAAACCATACCTACATTAAAGGACTATTTTGGAGGATTTAGTAGTTCACAGTATCTTTGTCCTTGTGGGAGGTGACAGCAAGGTTAAAGTTGTGGAAGCAACTTGATTATGGAAGCTTTCTTTTACTTCACTTTATTTGTAGTTAAGCCTCAGTGGTGATAACCATAAGGCGTATTTTTAAGTACAAAGTTATTTTGGTTAACCCAAAGAACAATGTTCATCCAGTCACTGTCTAGTTCAATTATTAAAAGGATTTTGAACTCAAAATGTTATTATTGAGAGCAGAAAGGAAAAGTTGTCTAGTATGTATGTCCTTTATACAGGTAACATGGCTGAGTACCAGTCTCAAAATACTTTGGCGTTGTGTAAGGATCTTCAAGGTAGAAGTCAGTAAACTAGGTTTCTAGACTCTATCACTAGCCAGTCATGTGACCTAGGAAAAATAATTGCAGCTCTTTGGAACTATGTTTCTTCATTTTCAAAATAACATTGGGTTAGACTAGTTTTTCTGACCAGCTTCATCACTGGAGGACCTTGTTTCAGCAGCCAAATCTTGGGACTCCTGATTGGGAAGCTTTGATTAGCCTATGCGGTCAATTTGAGTCAAACATACAATGTCTATTAGGCATTAGGTTCATCATTGAAGTCCCAAAGATTCCTTCCAACATTAATAGTCCATGATCTTGGCACTTATTTAGTGCCTATCCTTCAATCATCATCAACAATGATGAGTTATGGAACACCTATTATTTTTCCATATTGTGCCAGTCAAGAGGATACTAAAAGGTTTAAAAGATTCCTGCTCTGTCTGGTTGGGAAGATGGGTTAGATAGATAAAATTAAGGAAACAGAGTAATGTATACTGGGTGGGAATGACAACCTAGGCCCAGGACCTTTGGGAAGGCCTTCACAGAGGGAACTTTAGAGAGGTTAAGGTAGAACGTGGTGATAAGGTCTTAACAGACAAGACAAATGGAGTCACCAGAAACATGAGAGGTGGAATATGCCTGGCTTGGAATAAAGAGTAAGGTAGTTTGGCTGGAAAGAATTGTGTTATTATTTAATGAGCCTTTAATCCCAAATTGTATACAGCAGCTTAGCTGTTATTTTAGCAAATCTGGTAGCTATTATTGCCATATTTAGCCAATCTGTGGTATATCAGACTATCCAACTGTTTACAATTACTTTTATTAACCCTAGGGAAATTATTTATGTGTCTCAGAATGTAACATTGACACAGTGGAACAATCTAAGAATATTTATTGAATCCATACAGTCTGCAAGTTTTTATGGGGCATAAAACTGGATTGGAAAGCTTCTTGCCCTAAGGGAACAAACTTGTTGCAGTTATAAAATGGCTGCAAGGAAAAACCAAAATAAGATACAAACTATACAGGGAATTTAGCACTTTTCAAAAGTAAACCTTTAAGCAACCCACAGTTACAAAAGTGATCTTATTCATAGCCATGATGAGAAAGATTGCCTTGGTACACTGATTACTCCTAAGCCTGTAGCTCTGGTCCAGGTTACTTTACCTTACTATCTCTAGGACAGGATTTCTTTACATTTGTTCACACTGCATATCTTCTATGTAGTGACCTCCAAACATTCCAAAGTTTTTTAAATTGTATTTTTGTTTTACAGGTCCTGTGAGATTTATGCTTTAAAGAGGTTCTGTTCTGATGTGTTTCCAGGATTTGTTTCAAGATTTAGAGCTCCATTTAGCAGTTCTTGTAGTGATGGCTTGGTAGTGGCAAATTCTCTCAGCATTTGTTTGTCTGAAAAGACTGTATCTTTCCTTCGTGTATGAAGTTTAGTTTCGCTGGATACAAAATTCTTGGCTGATTATTGTTTTGTTTGAGGAGGCTGAAGATAGGGCCCTAATCCCTTCTAGCTTGTAGGGTTTCTGCTGAGAAATCTATTCATCTGATAGGTTTTCCTTTATAGGGTACCTGGCACTTTAGTTTCACCTTTTAAGATCCTTTCCTTTATCTTCACTTTAGATAACCTGATGACAATGTTCCTAGGTGATGATCTTTTTGCGATGAATTTCTCAGGTGTTCTTTGTGCTTCTTGCATTTGGATGTCTAGGTCTCTAGCAAGGCTGAGGAACTTTTCCTCTACTATTCCCTTAAATATGTTTTCCAAACTTTTAGATTTCCTTTCTTCCTCGGGAACACTGATTATCCTTAGGTTTGGTTGTTTAACATAATCCCAGACTTCTTAGAGGCTTTGTTCATATTTTCTTATTCTTTTTTCTTTGCCTTTGTTGGATTGGGTTAATTTGAAAACCTTCTTTAAGCTCTGAATTTCTTTCTTCTACTTGTTCCGTTCTATTCCTGAGACTTTCCAAAGCAGTTTGCTTTTTTTTTTTTTTTTTTTTTTTGAGATGGAGTCTTGCTCTATCACCCAGGCTGGAGTGCAGTGGCACGATCTCGGCTCACTGCAACCTCCACCTCCCAGGCTCAAGCGATTCTCCTGCCTCAGCCCTCTGAGTAGCTGGGATTACAGGCATGCACCACCAAACCTGGCTAGTTTTTGCATTTTTTTAAAGTAGAGACAGGGTTTCGCTATGTTGGCCAGGCGGGTCTTGAACTCCTGACCTCAGGCAATCTGCCCACCTTGGCCTTCCTAAGTGCTAGGATTACAGGTGTGAGCCACCATGCCTGGCCAGCATTTTACATTTCTGTGTGTCTATTGTTTCCGAAGTTTTGATTGCTTTTTTATTTATGCTATCTATTTCCTTGAATATTTCTCCCTTCACTTCTTTTGTCACTTTTTGGATTTCCTTGCAATGGGCTTCACCTTTCTCTGGTGCCTCCCTGATTAGCTTAATAACTAACCTCCTGAATTCCTTTTTCAAGTAAATCAGGGATTTCTTCTTGGTTTGGGTCCATTTCCGATGAGCTAGTGTGATTTTTTGGGAGTGTTAAAGAACTTCATTTTGTCATATTACCAGAGTTGGGTTTCTGGTTCCTTCTCATTTGTGTAGGATCTGTCAAAGGGAAGGTCTAGGGCTGAATGCTGTTGTTCAGGTTTTTTTTTGTCTCACAGGGTGCTCCCTTGATGTAGTACTCTCCCCCTTTTCCTATGGATGTGGCTTCCCGAGAGCCAAGCTGCAGTGATTGTTATCTCTCTTCTGAATCTAGCCACCTAGAAAGTCTACCACGCTCCGGGATGGTACTGGGGGTTGTCTGCATAGAGTCCAGTTATGTGAACCATCTGTGGATCTCTCAGCAGTGGACAGCAGCACAGTATTTGGGGTGTCTCCTGAGTCCTGTAGGAACAATCCACTTCTTTCAGGTCACACCCTACTTTTGCACCTTGGATGTGGCTTCTGATGATGACAATGATAAGGATGCTCACTCTCCCCCGCCCTCTGCAGGGCCCCCTGGGGCAATGCACTCCTCCACAGCCACTCTCCTCTTGACGCTAGCCTCACTCTGATATTTTCCATTACAAAATTTAAGTTCCAAATAGAATACATATTTTCTTCTCTCCAGCACATCATCTCCACGGGACCCCCGGCAACAAGTAAATATAAGAAAAGCAGAAACCACTTCCATTGACACCTCCATCCCCCACAAAACAACAAAACCCCACTGAACCGTTCTTTGTCTGACAATTCCTACCTTTGGTGAATGGTACGACTTCCAACAACCCAGTCCCCAGGTCAGATGATTTGGCACTGGGAGAAGGGCACAGTGGGATGGGAGAAGATTCTGTACCTGAAAGGGTAGGAACAAAGGATTTCCATGAGGCCAAGGGAATCGTTCATCCTGTTCATTGTATTTCTACAGGACCTAGAACTTAGTAATTGTTTAGTATTTGTCAGATTAAGTAGAAATTTGCTCAAACATAGAAATTATTGCCTTATCAAAAATCGGGGAATACATTCCTATATCCTTTTGTTCTTTCCTTGACAGCATAAAGTTTGATCCACAGATTCTTGAACTGGTATGATTAGTACTTTGCTTTGTTTCATCAAAGGCTGAATAGACTTTTGTGAGTTAGCTTCAAAATTTAAGCAGCATTTATAATAGGACTTCTGAGGGAAATAGTATTTAGCATTTCAAGCAGCCAA